TAACTGGTGGGGTTAGGAATTCCATCTACAGATTTATGAAATATGGCAGTTGTCAAGTTTTCTTTACCAAATCAAATATATTTTAAATATTGTAAAATAAAAAAATAGTGTAAAGTATACATCAGTATTAGGGTGGTATATATTTTGAAAATCTAATTTATTTCTCAGAAACAATCGACACATTTCTTAAAACTATCTAATCAATGCCCCTGTATAATATATAACTATCAAACTAATAGTTACAGTTCTGAGGGAATCATAAATAAAACTATATATTCAATAATATGGGACGATAATACCAAACTCTCCAAACTAGTTTGCTCTAATCTCTATACTTATTGGCGGTTCGACTTTATAACTCAATGTAACTTTAGGCTGATGAACGATGTCTTCAAATCTAAAAGTTGTCGAAAATTTTAAACTGCGTAACGCATGTAGCAATATGATACGTAACGAGATTTCAGCATAACGAAAGCCTGTCAAACGAAATGTTTGAAAAATATTACAACAAAACCTATATACACTTACCTATACAATTGCGTGCGCCTTTCGAGAAAAGCATGTAAGAACTTGGGTGCCGCTTTGCAACGTTCTCGGGCAAAAAGTTATCCGGATTGAAACGATGTGCGTCGGGACCCCAAATTTCCTTACGCCGATGCAATTCATAAATTGGTATAACTACTTGCATATTTTTCGGTACTTTCACGCCTGGACAGAGTTCGGTGTCATGTATAGCTTCACGTCCAATATAGGGTATTGGCGGAGCCAAACGTAATGCATCTGCTATACACATATCCAAGTATGGAAGATTCTTTAGGTCGTCATACTCTACGGTTGTGATACCGTCCGGAAAAACAGAGCAAATCTCTTGGAAAACACGTTCTTGTATTTCGGGATGCATAGCCAACGTCATAAGGCACGTGAAGGCCGCACTAACCGAGGTTTCGTAAGACTGGAGAAAATAAAGTTTTATTATATTTGTTATTCCAGTGATCTGTTGAAGATTTAGCCTTAAATATATAAAAACAAATCTTTGCAAAAAAGAAAAAAAAACCAAAAAATCGGTTTCAGCACTGTAATTATGAAAAGAGATTATTGTATGATACTAATATCCAATTCTTTTTCAATTTATGTTAGAGATATATTTTGACTGTGCTTGGCAGTGCCAAGGTGATACGCCTTCAATGGAATTGGACGCAGAATTTATATAAAGCTTTCAGGCCTTTTAGCTAGCATCGAATGCCAAATTGTGTGGAAAACTGGGCAGGTAGTTATAGCAACAGTTTGCGACCAGTTTCAAATTTATAGTAAAAATTTGTTACGCGTTCTAGAGTCGAACACGCTTTCGGTAATATTTTCGTCATAAAAAAGATGACAACATTAATGTAAGATAGCGTACGGCAAAAAAGTTTGAACAAAAAAATATTTAATGAGAAGACCAAAACGACGATATTCTTCAAAATTTCGAAAAAAAAATATATATTTAAATAAAAAAGCAATAATTTTACCGCTGCAATCATGGTGAAACACTCGATTTCCACATCTTTTTCGCTGAATACTCCCTGGCGCATGGACTTCAGCGCTAAATCAATCATCATTTGTTTGTCCTCTTCGAAATCGTTTTTGGCCTCAGAATCATTTTTTCGCGAAAGGTTCTGTTTAATCAACTGCAATAATGGTTAAACATGCATTTATGTATATAAATAATTTATTTCTGTAATAATTTTTTACTTACAGATCGTACAAAGTCTCGTAGGTATTCACGGTACCTTTTATATTGTGGAGTATTGGATAGAAAACCTAGGCCCACCGAACTGTATATGGAGTTCTTTGCCATGAGATCAATCAAGCTTTAGCAAAGTTGAATATTTATTTAAATAATTATTACTTTCACTTAATTAACCCGTTAGTATATATATTTTTTTGTAAATTAAGTATAAAGGCCTTTAGACTCTACTCACACATTAAATGCATTCATAATTTCCCTGTACGTCTCATCACCTTCTTCCATCTTGATGCCCATAATAGTTACTGCAATTTTATAGAAATTGGTAAAATAAGTTCAGTTAGTGCATTTATAAGAAAAATTTGGTATTTGAAAATAGTTTGGCGTAAATACTTACACAGACTCAATTGCAAGCCGCATTCCTTGATAATTGTAAAAATATCCTGTTCTCCTTGTCCGGCCAGCTTTGTCAGTCTGTTCTTCATATTAATTGCATTTTCATTGAAATAAGTAAAGAACGCCATGATATTATTATGTGCGAGGAATGGCGTTATAGCCTTGCGGTTGATTTTCCATTTCTTTGCTGCTCGTGCAAGAAATAAAAAATGCAATTAAAAGCAAATTAACACCTACAGGATTTGGGTGCTATTACCTGGACTTACGATGATACCATTTATTACACCGTTATGGAAGTGTTTATACAAATCTGTGGCTTTGTTGAGGAATACAGGCGAGGTGGTGACATGCTTGACAACCTCAGGATCGACGGTAACGACGAACGGCGTATTGGCTATCCACAAGCAACCGGTTAATTGTTTAAAGGTATCGATGTTAAGACTGATATTATGGTACAATTCTATAATTGTGTGTATATTAAGGCATCACTTAGTTTCTCAGCAACTTTATAACAACAAAACTTACTATTTAAATCAAGAAGTTGATAAGCTTGCCCAATAAAAGGAATGCCGTAAAGTGTGGGCAACTTGGAGGTTACACTGCTAAAGTACTTCCGCTTTTCATACAAGCGCCAACCGGCAGAGAGTATCAGCACGATTACCGCTATAATCAGCATTTCTATACCAACTAAAGCGCCCATTTTCACACAGCGCTGCTAAGCACGCCACGATTTAGCAGAATATATGAAATAGCACGAACTGAGTCAAAAGCGGAAAACTGCACTAACTTTTATAGGAATTCCATTTGTACTTTTTTTGTCTAAGAGTTAAAGTTAATAGCAATGCGCTGAAATCGGATATAAAAACAATTGCTTACGTTTCGATTTGTATACTTATGACTTTTTCTTTATTACAAAATATATAGATATACATATATGCGTCCATTTTACAGCTATGTTAAATTGTTATCAATGGGACATGCCCCTGTATTAAATGGAATTAAAAGCTAATGCAATCAGTTCTCGGAAGTAGTAGAATATATAATACTATAAGTATATAGTTTAACGCTAGCTTAAGCTGAAGGGGTCTAAAGCCCCCAAAAGCGAAGCTCGAAGTAAATAGCATTGAATTGCTCTCCTTAATGATTTACTATACATGATTTATAGAGGTTAAGAGGTTAAATTTTTATATTTATATTAAATTGAAATTTGTCATGCAAATTTTTTAGCTCTCTCTCTCTCTGATGAATCAACACAAGCTGTAATTTAAATTCATTATCGTTTTATTTCCTAAATGTCCACAAGGGTAGAATTCTTTATGACGAGAAAAAAATTTGAAAACGGTATCTTAAACTACTTGTTGTTTTTTGAGGCAGGCAAATTAACCCCTTCTGTTTAACGCTTTTTGCTTCCTCATTTATATTTTCTTCAACAACTATAGGTTTCAAAATTTCTTGTCTACAACCCAGTCCGCAGCAGATCAGAGTTAAGCAAGTAGGCTACTGAGTAACCACTAAGAATGCTTGGCGGAAAAGTCTCTCTCTTAAAGTAAGATAGATCACAGTTTGTCAAAAAAATTTTAGTTATTTTAGAATAAATCTTGGAGGAAGTAGTTGACTCAATTTATTTGAGTTCAATTATTTCTAAAACTTCTTCAATTTTGTATTTGATTGTTGAAATTATTATAATAAGCTTCATGATTGCTCTTGGGACATTGCAAATTAATGCCGCCATGTTAAGTTCGGTTAAGTTAGAAGGCTGATCCTTCAATACTGCGTGAAGATCGCACTTAGATTAGAAAATTTTATTCAGTCTTTTGTAATGCCAAACGAAATATTACTGTAGTTGGATATAGCTATCAGGAAAACGCCCTGAACCTTTCACAAATTTGTTTAGGAGTTTTATGCCTATTTTCCTTATTTCAATGGAATTCTTAAAAGTATGGCATCCGAGGTCTTTTGACTTGAACTGGCATTCGAAGGAAATGTTGTGATGATCCTATCTTATCTTTTTCCAATGACTTAATACAGTTGGTATCCATTAAGATTAAATTTTGTTGCAAGAATCCCGATAGGAGTGGATATACCCACTCTGATGGATCAGTATATCTTCGTCCGTCAGGAAGCGTAAAACTGGAGCTGATATAAAATTCCCGACATTGTACTTTTAAAAATACTCTCTAACTTTTCAATAAGAAAGATTACAGACTGATGGGTTTGAAATCTCATCTGTATCTCTATTTGCAATGTACAGATCTAACAAACGGCTAATGCTAGAACAACAGAAATTGTAGAAATCAATCATCTCTTTAGCGTCTTTCCATTGGGTAGGATTAGAAGGATTTTGTAGAGATCGTGTAACTTAATTTCCATACTGTGAAGTACTAATGTTTTGATAAGTATGCTTTTTCTTTCCTAGCATTTTCCAGAGTTGCTGTAAATTTTAAAGATTTTCGCAAAGTCTACCTGAAGTCCAATGTATCAAATTAATATAAATATTATTGAGAATTCTACCTTTTCCTTCATACAATTAAATTAGAACAAAAGTGGTAAAACCGCGAACGATAAAAAACATAGAAATCGCAAATAATTATTATTTTGAAAAAATTTACATTCTAGTAGACGGTTACAGTCAGCGAAACCATTAGATCACTTCGCACCATCAAAAGCTGCGATCTACAAAGACAATTTGGTTAAAGAAAACTCTTTATGGATGCTCGAATTGTGGAAAACACAGCTCAATTCACGGTTGAGAAAGTACTCTTCTACTAATTTAATCAATTGAATCTCCCATGACTACAACAGTGGAAATAGTCCAAGAACTCCCATCACATTACTTTACCAACTTTATTTGATTTTTGACACACAAAATACGTATTTCCTAAAATTATCAGCAATTTAGTTGGACCTGACCTCTATGTTTAGTGGCGGATCGGTTTTAAATGTCATTGTAACTTTTGGCACAAGAATGATATCTTCATATTTAAAGGTCGTGGAAAATTTCAACCTACGTATGGTATGAATCAATATCATACGTAACGTGATTTCAGCATAACGAAAGCCTGTCAAACAAATTAGTTAATAAAAACACAAATTACGAAAGAATTTTTTGACTTACCCAAACAGTTACGTGGACCTTTTGAGAAAGTCATATAAGAATATGGATGACGCTTTGCAACGTTCTCGGGCAAAAAGTTATCCGGATTGAAACGACCCGAGTCCGGACCCCAAATTTCCTTACGCCTATGCAATTCGTAAATTGCTAAAAGAACTTGTGTGCCTTTGGGCAATATTACACCTCGAAAGAGCTCGGTGTCATGTACAGTTTGTCGTCCGATGAAGGCTACGGGTGGAATTAAACGCAATGCTTCCGACGCACACATATCCAAATATGGCAGTTTCTTCAGATCGTCATATTCTACGAATGTGATTCCGTCCGGAAATGCGGATTGAAGCTCTTGGAAAAGACGTTCTTGTATTTCAGGATGCATTGCCAACAACACCAGGCAAGTGTATGCCGCACCAACGGAGGTTTCGTAAGACTGGAGGACAGAGAGTTAGTTAGTAATATGCAATTCTCTTTCAGATATAATAAAGTTATTTTTTGCGAAATTATCGACGTTGGGGCAGTGATGTATGGACGATTTCCAAAAGTTCAGTCTATTGGACTAAATGCAGAAGATTCCGGAAATTTAAGGATCTTCGATACCTTTGTTTGGATTACGTCAACGGCTTATCAAAACACTCTAAACTACGTCTATGTTTTCTTCATATAATACCATCTTATAAGCAAAATAAAATCTAAGAACATTCATACGATATACCAAAGGACAGAGGCGATATATTTTGTAAGTAGTTCCCTTTTTTCCACAAGGGGCGGCATGATAACAATTTGTTTTGAAACTTGAATATAAAATAACTATATTTAAAATAAAAACGTTAGAAAGTTACCGCAGCAAACATGGTGAACAACTCAACTTCCACATCTTTTTCATTGAATACTCCCTGTCGTAGGGCTTTTAGCGCTAACTCAATCAACGTTTTGTTGTTTTTTTCGAAATTGTTTTGGTCTTCTGTGTCAACTGGTTTAGCAAGGTTTTCTTTAATCACCTGGCGGATTTGTAAACATAGAATTATATATATAAAGCTTTCATGTGGAATATTTTTCTTACTTACAGATCGTACTAGGTCACGTGCACATTTTATAGCTCTTTTATAACGTGGGGTACGGGATAGAAAGCCCAGACCCAACCAGCCGAGCAAGAGATCCATTGCCATGTGATCACCAAAGCTTTGTAACAGTTGAATGGAATACAAATGAAATTTAAGTATTAATTAATCACTTTTAGTTATAAATTTTGCATGTTTTAGTTACAAAGACCGATTAAGCTTTACTTACGCATTAAATGCGCGCATAGTTTCCTTGTGTTTGTCACTGCCTTCATCTATCTTTATACCCATAATAGTTACTGAAATTTAATAATAAAAGTTCTATTTACAACTACTTGATTCTAATCGTTCACTTTGTATGGCAGCTGTATGCTGTAGACGTCGGCGGTTCCAACAAAAGAAAAACAGCTTCTTTGAGAGAAAAGGAGGTTTTAAACATTTCAGCTCTCCCAAAAACTGAGAGACTCTTTCGCTTACATACGAAAAGACTTTTTCGATAACCCAATATTTCATCTTCATCAAATAAAAATATCAAAAGTAGCACAGTTAACTAATTTATTGATACTTTTACGTTACGCCTGCCGTCGTCTAATAAATTTGCTTTAAAAGTCTTTTCAGTACATACTTACAAAGGCTCAATTGCAAACCGCACTCTTTGATAATTGTAAATATATGCTGTTCTCCTTTTCTAGCCAACATTGTTAGTTTGTTCTTCAGATTATTTGCATTCTCGTTGAAGGTAGGAAACAAGGCAGTAATATTATTATGTGCTAGGAATGCGCTTAAGGCCTTGCGATCGGGTTTCCATTTGCTTGCTGCTCGTGAGAGACATAAAACAGAACTTAAAGAAAATGTGAACCTACATAGATTATGTGTCATCACCTGGACTTACGATGAGTCCATTTAATATATCATTATGGAGGTGTGTATATAAATCGGGGGCTTTGTTGAGGAACTCAGGCGCTGTTGTGACATGTTTGATAACCTCAGGATCGACGGTAACGACGTACGGCGTTGCGGCTGCCCAAATGCAACCAGTTGATGTCTTCATGACATCGAAACCATTACTAACAGCATTAAATAATCCTGTAATTGTATACAAGTTGAATTATTCCTAAAGCTTACAGCAACTTATCGAAACACTTACTATTTACATCCAACACGTAATAAGCTATTCTAATAAACGATATGCGACAAATGATAGGCAACTTGGAGGTAACTTTGCGAAAGTGCTTCCGCTTTTGATACAAGCGCCAGCTGGCAGAGAGTAACATAATGACTGCCGTTATAAGCCAGATTTTTACCCCAATTAAGACACTCATTTTGCTTTTAAGAAATGAAAGATATCACTAATCGGCTGAACTTATTAAATCACACGAACTGAGACAAAAGCGGCCACTAACTTTTATATGACTTCCATATATACGTAGTGGTCTAAGAATAATGTTTTATTTGCTATAAATTATTCACAGAAAGAACACAATCCTAGGATATTAGACGTTGTACTTCTTTATAAGATTTACTTCATTATTCAAATGCATATTTTCATATATTATGAATCTTAAATTAAAATATATATTCATAAGTTTGATTTTATTATTATGCTCTCGCAATATACAAGGTATAATCGTTTTGTTCATCAAAAGATTGTCGCGTTAGATATAGAATTATCAACTTAAGAATTGGATAAAAGCGAGCTACAATTATTCCTACAACCCTTATATTGTTACAAGTCTTAGAAAAATAAAGTGAAAGTGTAATTGTGGATATACTACAGCTTAATTCCGAATGCGATCAGATAATTATATTAAAATCTGTCTAAATAACTTAACTTAGTTATAAGCTGAACCAAAGGGTAAAATGAGACTCATATTGTGTATTTTTATTTCAGGAAAACTTCACCCGAAGACCAATACCTGGATCGATTTCATTCATGTGCTGCCCTATATCATATTATTTTTAATAAAACAAGACCACTTAATTTCATTAAAATATTCCACATGTTGGTTGCCGATGCCTGAAAAAGTTTCTGAATATTAATACACTCGTGAGCTAATATTCTTAATAAATTTGTACAGGTATATTAACAAAATAAAAGCATGGAGAAATAGCAACATTTAACTGCTTATTTGAAACGTTAAAAGTGCAGTTTAAGTCGAATTAAATGCAATTAATACTCACCGATCCAAACGGGGTTAGACCTGCGGTAAAGCGATTACTAATCGTGTTTTATTGGTAGACATCAAAAATATTTAGCTCAAAATATTTTACCGATTTCTTGGCTATCTTCGCCTGAAAAGTTTGTGAATAACCAGATTAGTGGCTTAGAACTGAATGCCACTTGACGACTCGGCTGTACTTGTCTAGGCGTTTTTATAAAATTGTGTACGTAACAGAGAGAGAGAAAGGGCGTTACGAGCAAGCGTTTGAAATGCTGTTGATTTTTAAAGTGAAATAAATTTATTTTAATACCGTTATCTTTATTTACAATGACTCATTTACAGGCATCACTCTTCGATAATTGTTAAAATATCCTGTACACCTTTATATTAATTGCATTTTCATTGAAGTAATGAAAGAATGTCGTGATATTTTTATGTGGTCTGAAGTATTAGTCTCTTTGATGACGTTCGAGAAATATAAAATAAACTTAAAATAAATTTAACATTTACAGAGGTTGTGCGCGTTACCTGAACCTAAGATTTTATTATATAACACCACTATGAAAGTGTTTATACAAATCTGTAGCTTTGTTGAGGACTACATGCAAGGTGTAGTCGTTTGATAAGAGAACATCGATTTTATAACTCGAAATACATTTTATATTCAGTATAATCTCCCAGAATATTAATACACTTGCTCCAATGATCCTCCAAACTGCGGATTCTATCCCTGAAGTGAAAATCTATGAAAATGTTGCTGAGAAATTTGCATACGAATGAGTTTCTAAAGGTATCGATGCTAAGACTGATGTTACACAAGGTGTGTTCCAAAGTAAACAGCAATTTATATGTCGACTGGTGCTTTAGAATCTGCTATCTTATAGATTTGGAGTGAAGTGTCAGTATGTTTGTGTTATCGGTGCGAAAATGAGCTTCGAACAAAGAGCCCACATTAAATTTTGTTTTAAAATTGGTAAAACTTTTACCGATACGTTTCAATTGATGAGACAAGCTTATGGCGATGATTGTCTATCCCGTAGCAGAGTGCATGACTGATTTCAACGTTTTCAAAGTGGTCGTGTGCACATAAATGACGATCAACATGTGGGCCAATCAAAATTCGTGATCAACGGAAATTCCATCGAAACTGTGCGTGAATTCATCAAACGGATGAAAAAAGAGAGCCGAGATCACCATTGAAATTCATGGAAATGGAATTGAACATCTCCAAAACATCGATTTATCGCATTGTGACCGAACCTTGGCGCTTGCGAAAGATGTGTTTGGCCCGAATATCGCGAAGATGAAAGTTGGCGTTTGTTGCACGATATGCGCCGTCTCATCGATCGACGCAAATCACATTTTAACCAATCCCCGTATTTACCTGATACTGGCATACTGGCGGCCATACCGGCCAATGAGCTAAAACATTCGTTCGACGTATTGAAGCAGAAGAATACTATTTTGAATAAAATAAACGTTATAAAGCTTACATTGCTATAGTACTTCCGCTTTTCATACAAACGGCAACTGGCATGGAGTAACTGAGCGTTTCCATTCCATTGCAGTAAATGAAAGTGTGATGTATATATTTAAAAAAAACTATCAGATAGGTTTGTTGCACGGTATTTATTTGTTAGTAGTTTTGATTAGTAGGATTTTTCAGGAAATACTTTGCCACAAGCAAAAGCTTAAGGCAGTAGCCAAGCAGGCCTAACTTTGACAATGTGTTTTATTAGGAAGAAAAAAAAGTATATATCGCTGGCTTAGATATTCAGAAGTGTAATAATACTAGTCGAAACAAAGTTGGCTTGTAACTTTCGAGGTAGACTTTATCTATTCAATTCTTTGTGCTCCCTTCTCTATGAGTTACAAGGAACACAATTAGAAAGCACCTGAACTTAAATTTACAATAATTTGATAGCAAGTATGTATACATATTTATAGGCCTCTCTTTCAGATATGTTATTTTGTACCATTATCCTAGGTCAATAGTTCAGCACTTTTCAAATGGTCAGAGCGGGACTGCATGTTCCTTACATATATTATTTTACTGAAGCAGCGTATGTATGTCTATAAAAAATTTGGGGCATGTTTACTTTGATATCAGATCATCAAGAATACGTAATACGCGCATGCTTAGATTAATGGATCTCGAATTGGCGGCAAATAGAGAAAAGAAGAAACGATTGGCGCGTTGTTGTTAACTTGGCGAGGCCAGTAAAGAAGAACAATAAATGCCTAAAATCGATAAAATTGGGCGAAAACTTGACCTAGCTTTCATATAACTACCATATTATTAGGATTTTCGAACACCTGCTGACTTTATGCCATATGATTGGTGACTGTATGTGAAGTGCTTTATGAAACCCCGCGAACATTTTTTAGTATGTTTCCAAGCTTTATATGATTTTTGACAGATATCTACATATTTCCGAATATAATCTAATAACATTTCTTTGCTCTTGTCTTTTTATTATACTAGAATTAAGTGAATAGTTATAGTCAATATGAAATTACACATAGCACTATACATATATACGAATTTTACTATAAATTATATCACATTTTTTAGTTTAATTGGTCCTGACCTCTATGTGTAGTGGCGGATCGGTTTTAAAACCCAAAGTAACTTTTGGCACAAGAATGATATCTTCATATTTGAAAGTCGTGGAAAGTTTCAAACTCCGTATCGTGTGGATCAATATAATACGTAACGTTATTTGGGCATAACGAGCGGCTGTCAGCAGAATTAATTACGAAACATAAAATTTCCAATAATTTTCATTCTTACCTATACAGTTGCGTGGACCCTTAGAGAAAGGCATATAAGAATATGGATGACGCTTTGCAACGTTCTCGGGCAAAAAGTTATCCGGATTGAAACGATGTGCGTCGGGACCCCAAATTTCCTTACGCCTATGCAATACATAAATTGCTAAAAGAACTTGCGTGCCTTTGGGCAATATTACTCCTGGACAAAGTTCGGTGTCATGCACAGTTTGCCTACCAATAAAGGCTGCTGGTGGAACTAAACGTAAAGCTTCCGATACGCACATATCCAAATATGGCAGTTTCTTCAGATCGTCATATTCTACGGATGTGATTCCGTCCGGATATACAGAGCGAATCTCTTGGAAAAGACGTTCTTGTACTTCAGGATGCATTGCCAAAAACACCAGGCAAGTGTACGCCGCACCAACGGAGGTCTCGTAAGACTGCAGAAATGAGAATTAGTTGCTATTCGATGTTTTAAAAATATCCAATTTTCATTAAGTTATAACAAAGTCTTTTTAGCTCGTTGACTATTGCTCTAAATATAAAAGAGCCCAAAAAGATATATGTTCTTCGAGCCATGAGGAGATCCAAAATCTAATTCATCGATTCCCCGAACCTTTTTCTTAATTTTAATAATATTTTATATATTTGGAAGTACCAGCTGCATAACATTTTTAGCATACTGACTCGAAGCATTAGTTACTTGAGCATACCCCATGCTTATCAAAACCTTTATAAACTAATGAATGTGGGTTATGTGCGAGATTTTAAAACCATGAAGAGATAAAAATGAAACCGGAGACGACATATTGCATAAATATAACTAAAATAAAAGGATTGTTATGTTACCGCTGCAATCATTGTGAAGCACTCGACTTCCATATCTTTTTCACTGAATACTCTCTGACGTAAAGCTTTTAGCGCTAAATCAATCAACGTTTTGTTGTCTTTCTCGAAATCGTTTATGTCATCAACAGGTTTTGAAAGATTTTCTTCTATTATCTTCAAGAGTTTGTAAACATAGAATTACATATCTAATTGTATAAAGCTTATGTGTGCAGCATATTCTCTTACTTACAGATTGTACAATTTTACGTACGGATTTTACAACTCTTTTGTAACGTGGGGTACGAGATAGAAAACCCAGACCCAACCAACCGAGCACGAGGTCCATTGCTATGTGATCAGCTAAGCTTTAGAACAATCGAATGGATTACAAATTACACTTAAGTATTACTTGTATTAATAAAACACCTTTTGCTATAAATTTTGTATGTTTACTTACGCATTAAATGTCCGCATGGTTTCTCTGTGCTTCTCACTGCCTTCTTCTAACTTTAAGCCCACAATAGTTACTAAAATTTAATAGGAATAAGAAAGAGCATTAGAATACTTTTTAACAATTAAAAATCTTCCACACTAGGAAGGAATTCAGATCGTTCAGTTTGTATGAGAGCTATGTACTATCGGGTGATTTTTTTGAGGTTAGGATTTTCATGCATTAGTATTTGACAGATCACGTGGGATATCAGACATGGTGTCAAAGAGAAAGATGCT